CCCTACAGTGAAAATCTCTCAAAAAAAAAAAAAAAAGTTCAGAGAAATCATACCCAGTTGAACCAACAGATTACTAGCACACAAGAATTCCCAGGTCCTTAAAATTCTTCTGCTCCCACTTCCCAAAGGTAACCCTCATCCTAATTTAAACAGTCTTTCCTCTTTTAATTTTATCTAAATGTATACTAGAATATATACTCTTTTAAAACATTTTAAGTTTGGGGCCAGCAAGTGGCATGGTGGTTAAGGGCACTGAACTCCCACATAGCTGACTGTGGTTAAAGTCCCAGACCTGGTGGCTTGTTTTCTCTCTTTCTTTCTCACTCTCTCTCCTCCCACACCCTCCTTGATCAAATTAAAATAAATAAATAAATAAAGTTAAATAATTCTAAAAAAAAAAAATTTAAGTTTATTAATTTCTTCCATGAATGAGAAAGAAAGAGAGCATCCTCAACAGGGTCTTGATACCATGGTAACTCCCAGTTTCAGCAAGCACCAGATCATGGGCACACATGTGGCCCAGGGTATTCAGGGAGGACTCTAAATGCAAATCAGGAACCTTACCATATTGTGCAGTTTTGCAGAGCATCATGTTTTACTGCTGTACTACCATTTGGCCCAAGTATGTTCTCTTATACTTTGGTTTCTGCTCAACATTACATTCATGAGATTCATCTATAAGGTCATGGAGAAAGTCATGACATATCTCCATGATTTTCTAGGCAAAAATGCAACAGAACTTTCCTGAAGACCTCATATATGACTGCATCTACAAGGGAGGGGGACTTCGATAAGTTCCTGAAAAATCAAATTAAAGTATGCATTTATTTTGGAGCAAAAAATTTACAAAATCTATGCCTAGGGGTTGCTGGGTGGCATGGTGGTTGAGGCGCTGGATTCCCACTTGGCCAACCATGGTTTGAGTCCCAGACCTGGAGACTTGCTTTCTCACTTTCCATCTCTCTCTGGTCAAACTAAAATAAATGAATAAATAAAATAAAAATTTTAAAATCTTTGCCTTGGGGGACCAGCAGATGGTGTAATGGCTATGTCGCTGCACTTCCATGTAGCTAACTGCAGTTCAAGTCCCAGACCTGGTGGCTTAAAACTCACGCCTGGTGCGTGTGCGCCCAAGATCCTGAGAGGAGAATGGAGGAGAAGGGAACGTGGCATGGCCATTCCCCCTGGGGAGTGATTTCCAGCTTTCTGTCTCTGTATCCCTCTCTCTTTCTGG